GTTTCGAAGTATGTGGCCCAGAAACGTTTTTTCTTATTTTAATTGTGTTCATAAGGTTTCTGGCATGTCCAATTAGTTTTAACACTTTGTTTGAGACTTTTGCGGTCCAAGGAATTTTAAGACCAAGTCAAAATTACAGTTCCCTCATATTTTTTAAGGATTGGCTTTCAGAGTCCAAGCTTCTACTTTATATAGCAGTTGCGACCATACATAGCATTTAACGAACGTCAATCTGATAACCATACTCAATTTCATTTACAAATTTGTATTAAGAGTTCGTTTTTGTCAATAAAATATGTATCAAATACGGCAATGTTAACACTTCTTTTATTTTGTTTAGTTCTTTTTCTTCTTCGTGTGTCTCACCTCTTAAGAACATTTTACTCTGTCTGTAGCAGTTCTGAAGAGTTCTATTGTTGTTTTTCCACTCCACTGGTTTAAATTTTTTCAGCCAGGACGTGAGTCGTCTTCCCGGTCCTCTTTTTCCTTCCACTTTCCCTTGTATAACCAATCGCATTAACTCATATATTATATAGTCCATCAACTAAAATTTAAACGATTGATATCATCACTTAGCTCCAATCGTTGTACCTCTTGAAGATGGCACAAATAAATATTGCGTTCCTTCAATCCAAGCATAACTAACTTTTGTTGTACTTATTTCAACAATGCTATTTTCTTCAACATTCGTGTTCCATCTTTCTAGATTTCATTTAATTTTAAAGTAGAAAACTGTCCATTTTCACAAATATAATTGAACACTAAAGAATATTTTTGGAGATTTTGTAATCGCCTTCCATGAAATCATAATTCATATTCTCGTATAGCAGATCGTCCATTAAAATCATAGAAACTATATAAGTACAACATTATATACACTATAGTTTAACAAATGACAGACATATTTCCTTGCCTACTTGATACATGTGTTAAATAATAAAGAAAATGTTACAAAATCCTCTACGACAGGCAACGTGTTAAACAATTTATTTTCTTTAAAATTGTGTTTAAAAGATAATCATGAATTTTCTGTAACTAACTAACTTTCTTCTTCTTCGTCTAGCCATTCACGTCCACATCTGAACATAAGCCTCTTCAAGTCTTCTTTTCCATTGTTAACTAACCTTCAAGTAAACTAACTAACTAACTAACATCATTATAATCTCATATTACTAGCAAGAAGGAGAATGGAGTACATTATATAATGGTAAGTAATAATATACTCAAAATTATTCATTCAGTTCAGTTGCGATTTGTACAAAAATAGATCAAGTTGTAATTAGTCAGAACTTGAATTTTTGTAGGAATGTCTCCAGAAAGTTATTACTAGCATTTGGATACGCTCCAGCTAAAAGATTAATAGAAAACAGAAAAAAATTAAATAATAAAAAATCGACATTTGAGCCCTTTGTTTTTTAATTTAATCCTACATATCTCGTATATGACGAATATCATATCTATAATAAATTCTTTTTCTTCTTCTTCTTCCTCTATATTAGCAATTCTGTATCCCTGTGGAAGTTTGGTGCTCTATCGTTTGGGCTGTCATCCGATACTTCTTTTACCGATTCACACGGGTCTCTCCCATTGTGTTACGTGGATATTTCATTATATTTTTCTATTTAGTGTCCATTTATTTATTTATACACTGTATGTTACATTTTATTCTAACGTCTTCACTTCTTTTTAGATCTCTCAGCGTATTTCCTGTAATTCTTCTCAGACAAAACAAAACACAAACTCTTTTCAGGTCCTGTTTGCAAACAGTAACATCAAAGGGTTTCGAAGTTTTTTGAAACTCGTAGACTGTTTAGATCCTTCAAACATTTTAGTGAAACTTAAATTAGAAACTTAATAGATCGAATAGATGCTTTCTGGGAACATAAAAATTTGGTAATCACAGGATGTTAGCTATAAAATAAGATTAAAAATGGATTTCTACACAGAAATTGCTCGCAATTGTTTGACATCAACTGGATGGAAACTGAAAGAACCATTAAAAACATAATTTAACAATATCAATGTAAAAGAATGAATAATGAAAAAATTAAAAAATCTAGCATGGGATTGTATTTCACACCATGTGGTTTGGTTATAATGCAATGACTTTTATGCACAAAAGAAATAAACCCCTTATTACAAGGACTACGGTATCAACCAGACACAACTAAAAATAAAAAAAATCTTCCCTAAACATTTTGGTTGGTTATTGAAGAAAACTGTGTACTTTGACTTTCTAGTGATAACCAGTGGAAGACAGACTGAAAACAAACATAAAATGTAGTCTGCTTGATAAAAACAACAGTTTTGGGTTTGTTTCAGTTTTGTTTTTCAAGTTCTAGAAAAACACAAACAAAACATAAACTTAACTGTTTGTTTAGTGTAAACCACTACCATTAGAGTGTATTATTATTATTCAACTGAAAGCTCAACCCTTCCCATTAAATATTATTAAGTTTGGGCTCTGAATTATAATGCTTTAAATCAGGTTTTCAAAACCTTTAGCCTCATAGACCACTTACAGGTATTTTTGGTTTCCATAAACCCCAATTTGAATTTTTTGAAAATTTTTTAATGCACTAAGCCTATTTAAGAAAAAAAACTTATTAATTACTTTGATATATATTTTTGTTAGCTGATACATTGCTTTCCAATTTCAAGTTTTATGATATGGTTAATGTACAAAATATAAAAAAACCTGTATATTACGTAAATAAAATATAAAAACAATTTAACTATCTTCAGGTTGGTTATAGCTAATTTGTAACAAATTTCTTCTTCTATTGTCCTAATCATTGTGGACAGTGGCTATTAACATTACAAGCTGTATTTTATTGTTAACTAGTCAAAAAAGCTTATCTTTACTACCTTATTAATAACTTGATCTGTACAAGATATTAGGACAATTCATTGATATAACTACATTTTAAAGGTAAATAGCTTTTTCAGTAGTTGTTCAACCATGATCTATACTTCCACACCATACAGTGACACTAACATGTAACATTTTAACAACCTTATTTTTATTCCTGGTACAAAAGAGTTCCTTTTAATAAATATGTGCTTCATCTTGTTAAAACTTGACTTCTCAATTCTGGATTTGATCTCTGTTTGCAAAAGGGAATACGATAGGAGAAAAAGCTAGCAATTAAGCAGAAAATCTTTTGTAATACAGATGAGTACTTTTAGGGATCTAGAAGATGAACTAAACAGATAAGCAAACTATTTTAATACTTATAAAATAACAGATCAAATAACAATAATAGTGCAAAGAAAAATACACGAAGTTATAATACAAGACTCAACAGTAGAAGAAGTAAAAGAAGTACTTAATAAAAAACTAAAAAATAATAAACAACAGGAAAAAGAAAAATATTTCTGATTACAGAAATATTGCAGGTAAGTAATGAGCAATAATTGCAAACAGGTGTTATCATGGTCTATCAAAGTACTTAACTAAGAAACATCTGTCTATCACTGTATAGAACAGTGATAGTATAGATGTGAACAGTGATAGTCCCTGTTCTCACATATGGATCAGAGGCATGGACGCTAACTAAAACAGATGAATCTGCTCTATTGGTTTTTGAATGAAAGGTGCTAAGCAAGATATTCGGAGCGGTCTCAAACGCAATATGGAAGTTTAGATATAACTTTGAACTGCAAAATATCTACAAGCATATATTTGGTGGTAAAGATATTATCACTATCATTAAGCGAAACTGCCTGCAGTAGGCGGACATGTAGCCCGGGCCCCTGAATCGAACATGATAAAAAAGATTCTAACAGCTCAACCCTTGGGAATGAGAAGACGGGGTAGACCACAGCTGAGCTGGATGGATGGGGTAACACAAGATATGGAGAAGATTGGTGTCAGCAACTGGAAAATGCAAGCAAGGGACAGAACAGAATGGTATAGAAACCTTGAGAAGATCGAGGCCCTCTAAGGGCTGTAGCACCAAGATGATGATGAAGTAATGAGTAAGAGGAGAATTTAAGAAATGATTCACCTTCAGAACTATTCTAATTTGAATATTCGTATCATTTAATTTATGTTCCCAATTCTAATCATTTAAATATTTATACACATATGCTTTCTGAATGTCTGAATATATTTCAATCATCAATATTTTGATTTTCTTTAAGAACTAATCACTAACACACTTTTTTGTTGCTATCTAAGACATGTATTAGAAAGAAATAGATAACTAAAAGAAGGCTCTGAGCAGAACCATACCGAAATTATGTTGCCAGTGACATCAGCATATCACTGGGTACTGAAGATTGAAAGAATTTTGTTTTTGTTAGCTGCAAACCTGAAGTTAGTATACTTATACCAAAATTGATTATATTTAAAAACCATTTTGGAATTTCCAAACACATTTACACAATTAAATACTCAATTAGTAGAGAATACAAAAAAACTGGTTGACTTTATGTATGGGGAAACCCAAAACAATATCTCTCAGATAGCAAGAAAAATATCAAAAATACATTAATACACTAATAGAATAAAGTAATAAAAATATATTTTTTATTCCAATTAAAACAAACATTTTGAATTAAAATTTTTATAAGATAAAATTTCTAATCCCAAGTTACAAATTCCACACTTCATAAAAATTCTAATACATAATCTATACCCAGTTTTTATCAGTTAAAATGAGTCATGAAAAAGCAACAGGATACTAGAGTTCCATATTTTTATAATTACTTTAATAATTATACATTAAATTACTTAAAAACATTAAATATAATGTCTTAGTTTGTATTTGTTTAGACACTATGCCAAATTAAGGATAAGGACAATAATTCTAAAATATAATGTAGGTATACAACAATAATAGTAAATAAATTATATTTATAAAGGAAGGTCAACAATATATTGTTTTGTTACACAGAAAAACAATAAAAACAAACGAAGTAAACAAAAATAACAAATCATATTGGCATTATTGATTAATACTGATATTAAACAAAAACAAATCTTTGGTACTTACCTTCGTCTATAGCTCCCACTAACGGTCCCATCACGGCCAATGTTTAAAATCAACTGACTTTGTATTTTTTCTTTTTATGTAATCCCACCAATGTGATCAATGTGCAAAAGCTACAAATCCACATTCCGACCTTCAAATAAGAATGGTCCTTATCAGAACTGTCGTAAAATTTTATGGAATATTATATACCGATAAACTGCAATGACAATTACCTTTAATTACTTTTTTTATTATGAACAAATACTACTGTTTACAAAAAAGACACTAAAAATTTTTTTCTAACCTAAAATTGTGAAAAATGACACCTAGTTTGATTCTGGTTATATGTTAGTGGATGTGTATTGTTATTTATCAAGTCAATATCTAAATATTGGATTAATTCTAAATACAATAACACAGAGAACCTTATATATTTACAATTGTATAACGAATTATGATTGTAAAACAATTTTAATTATAATTATTTTTATTTTCTATACTTCTTTTAGTCGCAATATTAGTCATAACCTTGATATTTGATTTTTCTACTTCTAATTATGCAACCAGTTATTAATATTTTAAACTTTCCCATTTTGATCATTTTTAATAAGGACATACATTTATATTCTAAACGCTCATTAAAATCTATTTTTACAGTGCATCTATCCCTTTTAATTTTTAAGTAGCTTATTGAAATTGTGAAGACAATGAGTCAGGTGTTATATCTTCGAAGGTTTTTACAATAGTCATACTTTATTGATCGTTTAAGACATGAAAAATAAATGTATAGGATATGCATGTTACTACAAGATTCGGTATAAAAAAATATTAATGTGTATAATCCAATATTCACAGTGTAACAACATTAAAAAAACATAAAATATATGAAATACAATTTTTACCAGTAAAATATGAAGCTAATGCAGCTTGTCCTCAAGATATTCATTTATTGAATAATATGCTCTTCTTAAGAGTAAATCTTTTTTTTTTAATTTAGAGGAAAGAGGTATTTCTTTCACAGTTTTTGGCAAATGATTGTATAGGGTCAGTCCCATATATCTGAAGCAATTTTGAATGTTCTGTGTTTAGGAACTAGTAAAGATTCAGCACTTCTTGTAGTATAATAGTGATTGTCTGAATTTACTGGAATTGTATTGATTTTTTCTTTTACATCAAGTAAACATTTGTGGATATATAGGCAGTAGAAAGTTAAAATTTGATGTTTAATAAAAATTGGTGTACAAGATTGTTGATAATCCAAATTAAAAATTTTACGGATTTTTTTTTTTTGGGTAATGAACACGAAGTACTATCTACTGAGTTCCCCCACAAAATTACATTATAGCACATGTGGCTGTAAGCAAGGCTATAATAAACGTTAATAATACCGAGATGGAGAATGTGTTTTTAATTCCAGATATACATAAAAAGCTTTATTCAATTTCATATTCACTGAAATCCATTTAATCTTGTCAAAATATTCTTATTTTTACTTGAAGGTTTAAAGATTATAAAGCTTTTTATAGATTAGTAGTTTTTTAGAAAAAAATCTCAAAATCACTAATGAAGTCCTTTTTTCAACAAAAATTGTAAATAACATGAAAAGGAAGCATTTTTCGAAAAATTACCAAGATAGAAAACGTATGTATTTCGATGAGATACGCCTAAAAAAATTTACTCGAAGCGATTCGGTTAATTGTTTTTTTGTTAATAATTTCCGGTTTTCATTTATATATATATATATATATATATATATATATATTCTCCAGAATTTCCCACTACTAGAGGCGTCCGACAAGGAGACTCTATATCACCAAAGCTCTTCACTGCAACTCTAGAAAATATATTCAGCAAAATGAACTGGCAAAACAAAGGCCTATGCATTGATGGAGAATACCTCAACCATCTAAGATTTGCAGACGACATCGTTCTAATTGCTAAAAATCCTGCAGAACTACAAGAACTTATAAGCGACCTAAATGCAGCTAGCAATGAAGTTGGCCTAAAAATGAACTTGACAAAAACAAAAACCATGTACAACGAGCTAGTGGATGTCCAAGATGTAATAATAAATAATACTGCACTGGACACAGTAGACGAGTATATATACCTGGGACAATTAATACATAAATCTGGCTCATTACTCCCAGAAATCAACAGAAGAATGAAACTGGCTTGGCTAAACTCAAAGTCACTCAAAGGTCAATGGAGCGATGCATGTTAGGTATAACCAAGAGAGATCGAAAAAGAATAGAATGGATCAGACAGAAAACGAAGGTCACTGATGTAATCCACCGAATAAAATCTTTAAAATGGCAGTGGGCGGGACATTTAGCAAGAAGAACTGACAATAGATGGTCCACTAGAATTACTCTGTGGTATCCAAGAGGCGTCAAGAGACCAAGAAGACGTCCAAATTTAAGATGGGACTATGACATAAGGAAACAAGCCGGTACAACATGGCACAGAAAAGCGAATATTAGACAGTCGTGGGCAGACATGAAGAACGACTATGTAAGGGAGGCTGCACCATAATTGGTAGAATACGCTGATAATGATGATGATGATGATGATGATATATATATATATATATATAAATATATATATATATATATATATATATATATATATATATATATATATATATATATATATATATATATATGTATATATACTTAACCAAATAAAAAAGGTTTGATGTGGACCAAAAAAAGTTGTCGGTGTATGCTCTGCTTATAGGGGTAAACCGCTCACCTAATATCTGCAGCACTATAGAAAACTACAATATACGAGGACGGACACAAATCATACTGAATTCTGTGGCCGGCCAAATTCGACAGATGTCACAAAATAGTTTAGACCGATCGCAAATTGAAGGTGAGTGAAATAGCTGAGAAGTTGAAGATATCACAATGCAAATTATTCACCATTGTGCATGAACATTTGTCACTGAGAAAGTTGTGTTCAATCTGGATTCTAAATTTGTTCATAGTCGATCAAAAACAACTTAACAAGATTCAGAGCGTTGTTTAGACCAGTTTTAGTTCAATAAACAGGAGTGTTAGCGACGATCTTCTTCCAATAAACGATGTAATAATTGTATAATACAATAAAAACACATCTATAGTTTTTTTATTAATTTATTATCAAAATTGATGACAACTCGTATTAAATGTTGAACATTATGACGCCAATGTGTACTAAATAGCATTAAAAATATCCATACAAAAATATATTGTATCTTACAAATCTGTTTATGACTTAAGTCTTCAAAATAATAAAATGAATATTGAAAATCCAATGAGTTATACATATAACTTACTTATAGTTGATTTATTTCCTACATAAATTGATACAAACCGCCTCTAACCCGAAGAAAATTTCAATTTCTTTGATTTTGTTTTATTTGAAATAACAACTACATGTTAAGATACATGTTATTTTCATACAGATACAAACTCTTATTCTCACTTTGGTACAGCTCTAAGGGCGACCGTACACGAACTGCCAGAGCAATTTTCACTGAGCGACATACACGGACATCTCGAACAGTCGATTGCTGACTGCTTGACTTTCTGCATTCTGCCGCTTTTCATTTTCGACTAGTCAACAACAAATGAACGCAGACTAGGGATACAATGAAGACATCGAACACCAGTAATCTTTAGTTTTAGTAAATACAATATTAGAATTATTATAAAATTTCACAGAATGGTTACTACGTAAGAAATATTCAAATTGAAATAATTTTAGGTTGAGTTTACCGAAAGTACAAGCTGAATATAGACGCAAATGTCACAAATATTTGGGTTTCTTAAAAAAATTCTAATAATTACCTGCAATTAATCTCCAAAGAAACAAATACTTGCTCATTGTTGTTTTATATAAATCAAAAATTGCAGAATTCATAACACAATATAAACAAAATGTACTTTTCTAAATCATTATCTTTTTATATTTGAAGTATACAACATCTACATTCTAAAAACATTCCAACACTGCTATACCGAAATTTGTTGTTCCATGTTTGACATTTGCGGCTATATTCAGCTTGTACTCTCGGTAAACTCAACCTAATTTTATTATGGTTGAGACAGCTTGCCCTAATGTACCTACTATATGGTTAAAAGATTATACTACCTGAAATTTTGGAAAATATTTTAAGGGTATAAATATTTTAATAATATTCAAATTAGATAAGAGTGGTCAAAATATATTGTTTAGATTATACTGAGCATTTCAAAAATGAAAGGATAACAGCTGGAGTAGTCAGTATATGTCATGCAACCGCTCGCCAGCTGTCGACAGCACAATGAAATTTCATCGTACTGTTGACAGCTTGAAGCGACCGTGACTGCTGGAGCTGTCATGTGTATAGCAGCGAATATAAAATTATTTTTCCCTGCGAGGTCGTTGCTTGAAGTAGCTGATCTCAACTGCTTGAAGAAGTCCGTGTACAGCTGACCTAAGACCTGCCATTAAGAGTTTTATATAATATGTATCCCATATGTTGATATTTCTCCTCCAATTATACAAGAGTAAGAAATTATTTAAATTAAATTGAAATTAATATCATAATTAAACAATTAAAGAAAAAAAATAAAACAGTAGTATTGTGCTAATTTGTAAGGTACAATAATTACAAAAGCAAATTTAAGCTCCTACATTTTCCTCTGTTCCATCATATGTAATTGGATCAAACAAAAACATATTATTTATGGGCACTTCCTTATGGGAAACAGCTTTGATAACTTCTTGAGCTATAACACCACCCAAAATAGCACACACTGGACCTATTTCGCTGAAAATAAGATCAAAATGGCTATCTGTTAGTTTTGATTTTAGTTCATCTACTTGGTACAATTCAAAAATGTCATTTTTGATCTTTTGCAGAGTTTTTATATCGTCTTGTTCATTATCAGGATCAGGATTGCGTTCAACTCTATTTCTAAATTCAAGCAGAACTAAAACAAAAGTTAAATATTAATAAACAAAATTTCGAGAAATATATATAATTATACATAAAATTGATGATACTTCTAGAAAAATTAAAACTGTTTAAAAATTCCTGTTAGTTTCTGCAAGACTTTAGGTAACATTCAAAAAATTGTGCAACAACCAAACAGGTAGAATGATTCGATTGGCCTGTCTGATGTACGATCTGTCACAGTACTCACAAGGGATCTTGTATGTTCTTTAATTTTCCAATGCATTTTGCTGTGGATGGTAATATGGTTGCAATTTTATTGTCTATGTTAAACCTAGTCTATATTTTGTTTTTTTTTTCTTAGAACTCTGCTAATTTTATCTCTCGTATCCTTTATATAGGACAGGATATTATTAGGAATATTCTTCTTCTACTAGATCTCTGTTTTTAGTGTTGTCTTTGCTTTGCTTATTGTTGATGATATGACTGTGATGACATGTCTAGACCGTGATTGTGTCAGCAGTAATTTACTGTTTTACAAATATTGCATCTCACACATTGTCTATGTTTGAAAACGAAACGCATTTTTGGGATTTATGCACAAATAATGTAATATATGTTTAGATACTCGCTTAGAACCAAGTAGGGGAATAACCGCGCGCTATTCACTTGTCTAAATTTGTTCCATCAATCTATTGTTTCGTTTGTGTTACAGTTGATCCACTTTTGGCCAAGTAAAGTGAAATTAGATTGCTTCAAATTGACAAATCCAAGTTATACCAAAAATTGTTTGAAAGTTCAGTCATGAACTGGCTGGTTTGATATTGACTTGTAGCCATTTTGGGTCTCATTGAATGAATGTGGCATTACAATTAATGAACAAATAGAAAAATCCAATTTCAAGTTTGTAGAAAATGTGTTAACTGAAGTATAGATTTCAATGTAAATTTATGGCTATCATGTTACTGCAAAATATGTTGGGCCAGGCGACCAAGATCTTCCTGATTTCCCAGGCATTATATGGGATTCAGAACATGTGTTTGAAAGCCAATACTTGCTTCAAATTGCAAATTGTAAAATGTACAAACAGAATGCTATCATCTAGGAAGTAGCTCATTTAGATTACTAGACAAGAGGTCTCTTCTAACACCAGTAAAAGTAAAACAAACAGTTATTGACTTGGTTTTGGTGATGGAGGGTAATTTATCAATCTTCCAGTCAATTTAGCTCTATGCTTAAATGCTTCACTCAAAGATTTCCTGCAAATGCCCTACAATTATTTTTGTCTGAAGGTAAAATTGAAGCTATTAAGTCGATCATGCAAAACATGTGGTCTTTATCAATAAAAACATGCATACTGATATAAAAGTTAGGCCTATAAGAGTTGCTACTCGTTGTACTAATGAACTCATGTATATTATTCAAAATTTAGAGCATGAAAAGTTGCATGAGAGAAGACACGCAACATTAAGCAGCTAACATGTAATATCATCAAAAACTTAGTGACATGGACTGAAGACTGTTAATTGGAATTAATATATATGTATATATACCAAAAATTTAAAAGACGTTTTGTTTTGTTCATCATATTACTTAAGATTATAATTTATTCTATGTTGAATACCGTGACAAAGTTTCTTTAATTAAATATTATGTGTGTTTAGTCAAATTAAGTCCTCTATCATAAATATATTTTCTTATTTCTAGAATTATAACTGCTGCTCATGAATCAATAAAAAGAAATAGAATATGTTTAAAAGAAAAATACACATAAGTAACAATGTGTTACGTAAAAAATATGAGTCATATTAAAAACCTGTAAATATGTTGTTTATTCAACAATAATTGTCTATATTTTACGACCGTTCGACTAGCTAGCAGAAATTGCAAGTAATAAAAAAAGAACGGGTCCATTCGAATGTTCTGGAAATACTTTGAATGAAATAAACCAGCCGTAGCCTTCCAGTATTTTCGCCAAGGGTCGACATCCTTCTAGTCTAACAGCTGTATGGGTATATAACATGATTTTGATTGAAAGAAGTCAGTCAGAGAAGATAAATCAAGTCACGTTTTAAAATGTAACGCACATATAAATAAATTATGTAATTAGTAGTTGAAAATAAATTGTTATACAGTAGTTTAATAAATTGATATAAATTATCGTGTTTTAGTAAATTAAAATAAGAACAATAAATTAGAATTAATAAAAACATAACAAATGTTGGGAGGAGGAGTTACATTACATGGGGGAGGAGTTTAAGAGCTTTGCTTACTTTTGCTGACAATATAGTTGGGGGTAAATAATTGTTATAAATCTGATTACTTGAACAGCCCCTTAACACTGTTTTAACTTTAAGCATTTCAGTCAGTTTTTCAGATGTGATTGAGATGTTGTTAACTGAATGTCATTGTGCAGGATAGTTGTGTTAATCAAAATGTAAATATCTGTCGTTATGGGTTGTTTTTTTGTATACTGTGTATCCTATGTGTCCATCTTCCTTCTTTATCAGTAACATATTTCAAAATAGAAGTAGTTGGTTATTCTACCAACAAGCCATTTGAAATGTGCCTCCAGAAGAAATTTTGCAGACCACTTTTTATAAAGACAAATATATTAATGTTGCCATACATAATAAAGATTTGAGAAGTTGTATACTAATTTACTGGTTTCTGTTTTTCGTGTACCTTTTCCTTTGGTCATTGTTATAGGGTTAACCCATATTTTGCTTATTAACCCCTAACAATTTTTATTTGCTCATAAGTTTGTGAATTTGTCAAATATGTTCCACAGAGTCTGACAGACTTTGTTACTTAGTGTATTATAATTTCTTTAATGCTCTAATACCATTATTTGCACTTATATATCATAAGTGATGTGACAATATCTCATATGTCCAATTTTATATGAAAATTGCTTTTTTGGTTCATTGAATCTAATATTTCATTGCGCAGGTTGTAATACTATCTCTTAAGTTAAAAACTATTTAAATGGGAGTAAGCCACAATTAAAGGTTAAAGTATGTTTATTGACATTTCAATTTCCACTTCGGAAATTGTTCAAAAATTATTGGTTTTTATTTTGAGAACGATTTCTGAAGTGGAAATTGAAACGTCAATAAATGTATTTTAACCTTTAATTGTGGCTTATTCCCATTTTAATAGTAATCACTTTAAACTGCCACAAGAAAATAGCTTCAGAACAATAAAAGCTATTTATAATTAACATTTGGGATCCTATCTCATTCTATGGGAAAACAGTTGGTATAACTCACTTCTGTATGATAAAAATTAATAACCTTGTTATTTTGGTTTGTATTTGCAATGAAAAGTGTTCTTTTATAATTATAGTAAATGAATCTACTTTCATATTATTTTATGACTACATCAATTCATTACCAAAATATTTATTTTCACTATCAATATCGCCTATCTGTCAAAAAATTTTAATTCACCCTATTAAGGCTGAATGGCGGTACATGGTAAGTTGTCTACTAACTAAATTAAAGCTAAAACTTTTTCGACAAAAAAGCTAAACAAATTTTTCGACATGTGAAAAATTCATTCAGTTAGTATGTGATAAAATGATTATAAAATGAAAAATATTTAATATAAAAGTTGATTAAAAAATGAAGAAAACGATGAAATATGATATTTGTGATTTTATAGATTTTTGTGGTCAACAAAAAAGAGGTTTTTGGTATCTCCTGCAAAACCTATGTAATTGCAGTTAGGAGATATTGTCACATCACCAATAAAATTTTATATATCACCACAATTCAAACTTCAATTTGAAACAATACTTACTTAAAACGAGGTAAAACAAATCATTTCTTCTTTTGGATTTCTTTATACTATCAATATTTTGTTTTGTATTAGGCAGTATGAGAACTTTGTTCAAATCAGGATAGTTGATTTCACACTGGACTTTAACAGTGACTTTTTCACCTTTATGAGTCCTCTTCTTTCCTTTCTTAACTAACTGGATTTGATCCCTATAAAAGTTTGATATTTATAGTATGAAAAAATTAATATTTATAGTCATAAATATTGAAAGAATGCGTGAAACTGATGAAAATAAAAATATTAATGAAAACACAAAAAGGACACAAAAATGAAATCATATAGTTTTTAAAGGGACAAATTTAAAAGTGTATTTTTTAAATCTTTCCTAAATCCTTTACAGCTTTTTTTTGCCTTGTGTTATAAACCCATCATGTTGCGGTCAATTGACTTGTGTACAAATGTATACAACTTTTAAGGTTAAATCATAATTAATTCTTAATTCAACTTACTCGTGATATTGATGATTTTGAAAATCAGCAACAGAATATCCAAAAAGTCCAAACACATCTCCAGCTATTAGTTTGATATTGTTTGCTCTACATACTTTATCTATTTTGAGTAAAACATCAGTTTTAACACAAGTGGCAACAATAATTGTGAAATCTTTAAAGAAACTGGGATCTTTCGATGCAGGAGAATCTGAATCTGCTTTTATTGTAACCAATGGATTCAAGGCTTGAGCTCTTTCTAATACAGCTTCAGCTATCTACAAAAAATAGGATTAAAATAAATTTGAAGAAACAAAAAGAGCCAATAACATCAACATAATTGGTTCTATCAATGAATATAGACACTTATAATGTATATTCTTTGGTTCTATGTATATAATGTTTTTAATAAGTTTTAACTACATAAAAAATAACCTTATCTCCGGTCCTATTTCCCGCAATAAGAAAATTCTTAGCTTGCTCTTTCTCTGTGACAATTCCATCATCTAAGATAGTCAGGGAGTTGATTCCTGATAACAAAATATTCTTAGCAATTTCGGATCCAAGAGCTCGTATGTTAATCAAAAGCACATTAGCTGCACGTAATCTATGAAAAATAAAACAATAATACATTATAAATCGAAATCATAAACATTTCATACTTACTTTTCTTGAGATTCTATTCCCCATAAGCGTATTTGTCTGTCGTATAATTCGGCTTCGGCAGCAGATAGTTGTTTCGGTTGTTTTTCTGTCATTTTTAAACAGTGTTATTCTATCCAAATTAGTTGAATTAAATATCTTACGATAAGTGCAATAAATTTTAACAATACTGAATATGAATTCTAAGTAGCAAACAAACCCTAACCTTACATTTATGTTTTATTTTACCGGCGTCGGCGTCAGTCATTGTCATTGTCATTAGTCATTATGGTCTTGGAAAAGTTGTCAGCAACACCTACTAGGTGGCACTGTTAGATAAAAAAACTATTTTATTTTTCTATTATCATTTTTCTAACATATTAAATTATTTATAAATATATTAATTAGAATGGCTTTTTCCGTAAAGTCTATTTTAAATTGAAAATAGTTCCAATAGGAGAAATTGAGAATGGAACAAAACGTATGAAAAACTTTTGGTTATGGATATTTTTGACTATAACTTAAAAGAAGAAATATATGAAATGAAAATATAAACTTCAAATGTCATATATGATATATGTCATAATAATAATAACATAATTTGTTTTGATAATGAGAAAAAATGAGTTGAATGTGAATGTATTATAATTAAATATTATTAGATGGGTTCACATGATAGAGTGAAAAGAAGATCTCGGTCACCTTCTTCAAGGCGCGGAACGAAAAAACACAGGTCCCCCAAATCTAGATCAAGATCCCCCCATAAAAATCACACTCATGATGACAAACATGATAGAAAACATCATGGATTTGGTTATAGATCCAAAGATATTAGTAAAAAATTTAATGAAGACGATTTTATGGAGTCCCGCAGACTACAACGAGAAATATTGGGTGTCAGAGATTGTCCAAATATTTGGGGAAAGTCACCAGAACAAGAAGACTTGAATTCTGAAGAAGAACTTATAAAAAATGAAGAAAAAGACACAACTGTGAAAAAACACAAAAAGAAACGGAAGAAGAAAGAGAAGAAGTCAAAGAAGGAAAAGAAACATAAGAAGGAGAAGAAGAAAAAGAAGAAAAAAGTTAGCAGTAGTAGCAGTAATAGTGATTCGGAAACTGAGCAATGGGTAGAGAAACCTGCTGCAGTGAAAAATGATTACCTGTCTGATGATAATGAAGAATCCACAGTAGGACCTTCTCAGAAAGCACATGCTACTCTTACTCATAAGGAGATGGGTAAAGCTTTACTTCCTGGTGAAGGTGCTGCAATGGCTGCATATGTTGCTGAAGGTATTTATTAAATATTAATAGCCCAAAGTAATCTTGTAATATAAACCTGAACCTTCTTGATCTATGTGTCACATTCTTTTTTATCACAAAATATTTTTTTTTCTAGGTAAGCGCATACCCAGGAGAGGTGAAATTGGTTTAACATCAAATGAAATAGCTTCCTATGAGTCAGTTGGCTATGTTATGTCTGGTTCTAGACACAGAAGAATGGAGGCTGTACGTATTAGAAAGGAAAACCAAATTTATTCTGCTGACGAAAAGCGAGCATTGGCTATGTTCAGTAAAGAGGAGAGACAAAAGAGAGAAAATTTAATATTAGGACAATTTAAAGATATGATCAGCTCTAAATTAGCTGAGAAAAACAAGTAGTTTCAAAAAAGTTTTTTAAGGTTTACTATTTGTTCCTTTCTTTTAATATTTGAATGTATTAGATAGTAAAGTTATTTAGAGCAATAAGTAGAAGATTGATGTTATGCGAATTGTTCTGTAATTTTGTAATTTGCTGTATCAATTTCTTTATTGTTTTTGATGCTAGATAAAAATATTTATGATTATAATGTACATAATGATTTTCTAGGAATAAAATATAAACAAATAATATATGGATTGATAAAATGTTAAACTAGTGTGTAGGGTTTGCTTATTGAATGTAAAAAATCATAACATGTATGTATCATAATCATACAGAATTTTACAAGAATTGTTGTCTTTGTGCAGAACTGGAGGAATAGAACTCTTACTAAGTACTAGTTAATAATATTTTTTGACATAATGACCTAAGAGGAATAGAGTCAAATAAAAAAGGCCTATCTGGAGCCCAGCAGAGGATTAGAAATGAGTCAAAAATAGCTACTGGGATGTGGATAAAAAAATCCACCTTAAACTACAACAACAGAACTGGTAAAACCTAGAGACTAGATCATAGAGGAATATCACAAAAGTATTCAAGAAGGCAGCAGTACATAAATACCATCCTTATAGATCAAGCTCAGATCTTATCATCTACAAACTGGACTACTAATCATCAACAAGCAGTGGATGTGGCTCCTATTGGAAGTCTGAACAAATAACTACAGTTACTTAAAATAACAATTAGCATTTAGCAAAATATGCTGTTGATATGGTGAAGGCTGTGGAGGGAAGTCTTATCCCAAACAAACAAAATAAAGTTAAAAGAGGTTGTTAAAAAACCAGAAGATTTGGAGGTTGTGCCAATCCTAGTCTTCAAAAGTCTCCTACAAAGCATCAAGGCATATTACAGAGCTCATTTCCAGTAGTATTGCAGAGGTTTAAAGATATCCTTCAAAACCATCATACATCTCATTGGCCTCAATCAGAATCTTACCGTGACTGCTGGAGCTGTCATGTGTTTACAGCAGCGAATATAAAAATTATTTTTCACCTGCGATGGTCGCTGACTTGAAGTAGCTTGATCTCAACTGCTTGAAGAAAGTTCCGTTGTACAGCTGACCTTAGGACCTGCCATTAAGTGTTTTATTTATAATATGATATCCCATATGTTGGTATTTCTACCCTCCTATTGTACAAGGAGTAAGGAATTATTTAAATTTAATTTGAAAAATTAATATCATAATTATTTAATCAATTACGAAGAAAAAAAATAATAGACATGCAGTATTGTGCCTAATTGGTAAGGTCACAATAATTACAAAAGCCTAATTTAAGCTCCTACATTTTCCTCTGTTCCATCATATGTAGTGGATTCAACACATAAACATATTATTATGGGACACTTCCTTAGGGGGAAACAGCTTTGATAACTTTTCTTGAGCTATAACACCCACCCAAAAATAGTCACTCACTGGACCTATTTACGCTGGAATATTAAGATCATAAAAATGGCTATCTGTTAGTTTTGTGATTTTGTTCATTCTACTTGGTACAATTCAAATTATGTCATTTTTGATCTGTTGCAGAGTTGTATTTATCGTCTTGTTCAGTATCGGGTTCAGGATTGCGATGTTCAACTCTATTTCTAAAATTCAAGCAGGAACTAAAACAAAAAAAGATTAATTTTTAATTAAACATAATTCGTCGTAAGAGATATATATATATATTAATTATACATTAAAATTGATGATCCTTTCTACGAAAAATTAAAACTCGGTTTAAAAATTCCTGTTAGGTTTCTGCTTGGTCATTTCAGGGGTAACATTCAAAAAAATTGTTGCAACAACCCAATCAGGTTAGAATGATTCGATTGGCACTGTCTGTTGTACGATCTGTCTCTGTACTCACAAGGGATCCTTGTTTGTTCTTTAATTTTTCCAATGACATTTGTGCCTGTGGATGGTTATTTGAGTTTGCAATTTTTATTGTTATGTTAAACCTAGTCTATATTTTGTTTTTTTTTTCTTAGAAATCTCTCTGCTAAATTTTTATCTCTCGTTTTCCTTTATATGGGACATGGGTATTTTTGGAATTTTCTTCTTATTACTAGGATCTCTGTTTTTTAGTGTTTGTCTATGCTTTGCTTATTGTTGACGGTATGTCTGTGGGATGATAATGTCTAGACCGTGATTGTGTCAGCCATGTAATTTACTGTTTTACTAAATATTGCATCTTACACACATTGTCTTTGTTTGGAAATTACCGAAACGCATTTTGGGATTTAATGCACAAGGTATTGTAATTTATTGTTTAGATACTCGCCTTAGAATCCAAGTAGGGGAATTAACCCGGCGCGACTATTCATCGTGTCTAATTTGTGTTTCCATCTATCTATGTTCGTTTTGGTTACCATTGACGATTTGAAGTAAGCAAAGCAAGTTACATGTTTTGTGTTACTGTTATCCACTTTTTGGTCACAAGTTAAAGTGACATATTAGATTGTCTTCAAATTGGACCAAATCCATGTTATACCAAATAATTGTTTGCAAAGTTTCAGTCTTTGATCTGGCTGGTTGCAGTTTGATATTTGACTTGTACCCATGTTGGGTCTCATTGAATGAAATGTGGCGTTACAATTAATGAACGAAATTGAAATAAATCCCAATTTCTAGGTTTTGTAGGAAATTGTGTTAGACTGAAAGTATGGTGTTCAATGGTTAATTTATGGGCTTCATGTTACTGCCAAATTATGGTTGGGCCAGGGCGACCAAGATTCTTACTGATTTCCCAGGGACATTTATATGGGATTCAGGAATATGTGTTTGAAAGCCATGACTTGCTTCATAATTGTCAAATTGTATATCTGTTCATATAACAGTATGCTATCATCCTGGAAGTAGCTCATTTTTACGATTACTAGACAAGAGGGCTCTTCTAACACCAGTAATCTCTAGTTTAAATACAACCAGGTTATTGACTTGGGTTTTGGGATGATGGAGGGTATTTTATCCACTCTTCCTGTCAAGTTTTGCTCTATGCTTATATGCTTTCACTCAAAGAATGTCCTGCAAGTTGCCCTATCAATTATTTTTGTAGCTGAAGGTAATAAATTGAAGCTATCTATGTCGTTCACTGCATATACATGTGGTCTTTTTTCAAATTTTAAGATTACAATGGCATATCTGATATATAAATGTTAGGCCTTTAGGTGATTGCTACTCAGTTGTGACCTATATGTACTACTTGGTCATTATTCAAAATTTTAGAGCTTGAAAATGTTGCATTTGAGTGCAGACACGACAACTTTATAGAGCAGCTAAAACATGTACTATCTTCATAATTACTTTGTGACATGGACTGAAGACTGTTAATTGGATTAATATATATGTATTTATACCATAAAATTTATAAGACGTGTTGTTTTGTTCATCCTTTATTACTTAAGATTCTAATTTTTTCATATGTTGAATACCGCGTGACAAAGTTTCTTTATTTGAAATATTATGTTGTGTTTAGTCAAATTATGTCCTCCTATCGATAAATATATTTTCTCTAATTTCTGTTGATAGTATAACTCTGCTCATGAAATCAATAATAATGAAATAGAATCTGTTT